GAAAACACGTCATTAGCTACTTTCCCTTATAGCTTTCTCTCACAACAATTTTTAACAATAAGTGTTTTTCTCATAGTTTACCAAACGGGCTAGGCTTCCCAAATTTTTTAAATAATCACTTATCACCCCAAATAAGCAATACCAAACGGGCACTAAGCAAATGAACCTAGTTGCAGTAACTATATTATAATATGGCCACGTGGACAAGTCATACCACATCACAATATTCTAGATTCACACAATAAATTTTCATCATCCTAGTTCTGCATCAAAAGAGTAACCTCTATTTGTATTCTTAATTCACATTGTTTTATATGAATTTTCATTGGGGTAATAAATCAGATTTCTTGAATTCTCATTTGCCTTCCCTGTATTTGGATCCTAATCATATAATCGTAGAAGGAACCAAAGCTCAACAGCAGCAATAAAATCTAGTGCGCCTATGCGAGCAGCTTAACATTGGCCCAAACAAAGCACCGAAGCTAATTACAGCATATTAAAAGAATTTTTGACTCTCTTAAACGTTCGACTGCCCATTTCATTTGAGTTTCTACTGACCAAAAGTCTACACTTCTGATCTCCATTTTATATGCATTAATCCTATTTCAAATTACAAATTTGGGAAAGGTATGTATCACTCACCAAACAGAAAATGGAAACTTGGCTTCTTTCTGGTGTCGAGATCAAACGCACATTTTTTGCTCTACCAGCTTTCCGGACTCCGGCTAATAAGTTTATTGACTACCCAGTTTGCTGGGAAGGTTTCACAGTGACCGTATAGTGCACTCCCATCCCATGCTAGGAAAATATCCAACTGATTGCCTAAACTGTAATGCAGGACAAAAGTAGAATTGAATAGGTGAAGAAAATGTAGTTAATGCTTTACTTGACAAAGAAACCACGGAAATAAAACCATAAATCCAATTAATAGGTTGGGGTGCTGAGATCAAGTCACTGTTTCAAGCTTCCTAGTGTCATTTTCTTTCCTAGCTTTTCATCCTACATCAAAATTTCTATGAGACATGCTGAAATGTTGCACGATAGCACTTTTCAATAGCAGGGTAAGCACTTTTACTCTGCAGAATCCTACATGCATCCAAGAACGCACTAAATGTTATAAATCCAATGAGCTTAACCATATTTTGGTCCTACAATAAGTACATACACTAAAAATCTAGGAACTTATACCCTGCTTCTCTTGCACACTCACAAGCACACTTAGCGAGTCCATTTCTACTGATAAGGCCATGAAAGACTTTCAAAACCTTCGCATACCTTAACATTTCTAGTGAATAACCAACACCTTCACCTTCAAGCAACAAACATAGTCTAAGCAGATAGCGTTAACCGTGTACATTGAAACCAAATTGGAAATACCAAATCATAAGAGAGCATGTAAGTCGAGCATCAATAATAGGCAGATAGAAAAACTAGGAACTGGCATGATCAGATGGCAAACCATAATCAATACAAATGCCACCCATGGCTTTCTCCTGCAATCCACCGTGAGTACCAATTGCAATGTCTCTATCATTTCCATCTTGCTGAAGAAATCAAGTGATTGTCTCATGTAACACCAAGCACAAATAATTATCATCCCAGAATAGCAAGAACCATAATGAAAAAAAGCAGTGCTGTTAACTAATTGAGGCTCTGAATTTTATCAAGCAAACATAGAAAGACAGAGAATACAAACAGGCAATCTCATTCCCATCAAAGAAGCCAAAGAACAAAAACAGAAACCTTCTTGTTTATTAAATCTTCTATACAAGATCAAAGGGATTATGATTTGGTAACAGCAGCATTGGAGCAATCACAAAATTCACAATTCAAAAACTATCACAAGAAAATCAGAAACTACCCTTTCAAGGCGCTCTGGGGTCGGTCCCGTGCTGCCAAACGTACGCAAGCTCATCCCAGCCAGTACTTGCCAA